ATACACGCAAAACCTGGTCGCATTTGATGCCCATTTTTTATTTCAATTCTCCTTAATTTGGAAATCAATATTTTGCAACCCGCCCTGGATTAAAGTTTGACTTTCCTGTTTTTCGCTTGAATAGATTTGAAACTTTCAACTAAAAGTTTGCGTATTCAAATAAAAAAAGAAGTTTGAAATTTCTGCTCAGGACTATTTTTGCGGTCAGAGAATGGCGGTAGACCATTGAGGGTCTCTAGGTCTCACGCAACTATGAAAGTTAGATTCCATTGTTGAATGTCAAAGTTTGAAAAATTCTTGGGCGAATCTCCAAATTTAAAAAGAACGCGACCGATTGGAGCGATGAACGGCACACCGTCGGAAAGCTTGTTTCACGAGGATGCCGAAAATGCCCAGGTTTTAGCGATTTGGTGACCCATGACCTGAGAAAGTTGTCGGGAAGCACGGAAGGTCAGTTTCAACACGTCTGAAATTACCTTTTTGTGAGGCTGCGAATCACAGTTTGGCCATAATAAAAAAGGTCTCTTTACTTCATAAATTGTTGTGGAATAATAGTTTAAAATTTTTTTTAGGCAATTCAATAATAATTGGGCCCGTTCATTTTAGTCGATTTTTACGGCGATTTTTCAATTTCACTCTGCAATTTTTATAGATAAATAAATTCAAAATCGCGGTTCTGACGCTCTAATTGAACTTAAGTTTTATTTTCTCTTTATCTTTTATAATAATCTTGATTGAAATTCAAATTCAATTTTAATTATAAATTTGCAATTGAAAAAGAAAACGAGCAAGTCGAAATCTTGGAAACCTACTCAATGGCCAAGAGAAAGTATAGAAATCTATGCAAAATGAAAAAAGCAGGGCACCAAGAAAGATCTGATTGTAAAATTATTAAAGAGGCAGAAGAAAAGTGCCATAAATTTCTTAAATTTAAAAACAAAAGTTTAAAACAAGTGCCGAATGATATTGAGCTAAAGGCGTGGGAGAAACACTTTGACTCCCTACTTAACGAACGCAAGTTCAGAGCCGATCAGTCACTTGGGTTTAAAGAATTTCTCGTAAATTATGAAAGTCCTGAACCACTAAAAAATATTATGCAAGGCGAAGTGGAACTGGTAATTAAAAGTCTAAAGAATCGAAAAGCGCCTGGCCCAGACGCACTTAAAAATGAAACGCTTAAAAATCTATGGCTCCCTCTTGCTTCTGAAATTACTGCATTTTTCAATTTATGTCTGAAAAAAGGACAAGTGCCACAAGCATGGAAAGACTCAAACCTGAAACTGCTATTTAAGGGCAGAGATAATATCTCCGACGTAAACAACTACAGGGGCATTAGCCTTACTTGCTCCCTGTATAACCTTTTAGACAAAGTAATGAAAAACCGAGTTTATTCACAACTTATTGGAGAAATTCCAGATAACCAGTTTGGCTTTGTTAGAGGAAAGTCTACAATCCATGCACTAAAAATCTTAATCAATGAAATTAACGAAACTGTTTATGAAAGTAAAACACCTCTATATTCCATGTTTCTAGATGTCCGGAAGGCATTTGATTCTATTGACAGAGAAGTAATTTTTAAAAAATTAATTTCATGTGAGAAATTTTCAAAAGAAGAGCTTAATTTATTAGCGGAAATGCTTGATTTAAATTTTGTTACAATCTTTGACGGAATCTCTTGCTCTGATCCAATCACTCAATCAAATGGTGTCAAGCAAGGTGGGAGCCTCTCTCCGTTCCTCTTTATTTTTGCAATTGCAGACATGGACCAGATATTGAAAAAGTACCCAAATATAAAAATTATTTACTATGCTGACGATGTAGTTATGGTCTCTGTAAGTCTGGAGGAGCTGAAGCTGGCCTTACTTGATTTAATTGAGTGCTTAAAGCTAAAAAATTTGACACTGAATTTATCTAAAAGCAAAATTCTCAAATTTCGGAATAAAGGAAAAGGTAGGCTTAGAAAATCTGACTCGCTGGTTGTTTTAAATCAAGAAATTGAATTTGTCCCTGAATTTTGTTATCTAGGCGTGACATTTCAATCATCTGGTATCTCATTTGCAAAGCATATTAATAAAAGAGTAAAGGCTTCAATTTGCGCCTCGGCCGCCTTCTCCGCACTGCCTAAGTCCTCACTCGCCACGGCACTTAAACTCTTTGAACTTGCAATTGAACCAATCGCAACTTATGGAATCGAGGCAATTTGGCCATACTTAACGTTAAATGACTTGAATAAACTCGAAACGGCCAAGTCTCGGTTCCTGAAGAGAGCCTTGCAGGTATCGAAATACACTAAGTCGAGATTGGTATACGAATTGGCGGATTCAACTTTTTTGGTTTCTGATTTAATAAAGAAATTTGAGCTCGCTGAGACTGAAAGTTACTTTAAATTCATTGAAAACCAGCTATACAAAATTTCTGAAATTGATCCTACATTTTACGACACTCCTGCAATGACAAATCCAAGCTGGAAAAAACCGTGTTTTGACAATAGACATTTAATGACTAGATATGCAGTACATGGGTTTCACTTTATATTTTGTAAAAATAAAAATTATCACACAACTATAAACAGTGACTGTGAATGTGAAAAATGTGGAATAAAAATCGGATTGTATCATTTTAGTGAATGCCGTAAAAATGTATTAAGTTTGTCTGAAACTGCTCGCAAGATAGATAAGTAATATTGTATTGTATAAAACGTATTATTCTCCTGTTAAGTCGTACACATGTTGTGTTTAATAAAATTTTCTAATCTAAAAAGAAAACGAAAAATAATTATGCAACCGGGTTGTACATTTATGATGTACAGGTTGCATATATTGAAAACTGTAGGCGTTTTATTGGAATTAAAAGTACAAGTTCAATTTGTTTTTTAAATTCATTTTCAAGAAAATGAAAAGTAAGGATTTTGAATGAAAAAAACCCATGTTTTTATCATGTAGAGCCAAAATAAACCTTCTCGGATTTACGTCTCCCGTCCGAAGAAATTCAGTGGCATGTTCTGCACATATCGCTTTTGAGCAAAGTGGAAATCGAGAGAGTGTCTGGCCAGTGAGAGAGAGAGAGAGATGACAAATCGATAAGCAGTGCGGTCGGTTCGAGGACCGAGTTGCATATGGATGGGCTGGACTCCAACTGCCGCAATAAAAAGAAATCCGGCTCTCGAATTGAACCTCGGGGAAAACACAAAGCCTGAAAGCTTTTCCCGAAATTGTCGCGGCCAACGACAATCTCGGCCTTTGTACTTTTTTTCGTCCCGACGTTGGAAATTAAAAATTTTTCTTCGTCCGGGGAAACGGAAAAGGTGCTTAAAAATAAATCAAGTGCCATAGAAAAGAAAGAGCGCAGTTTCCTTTAAGACCTCCTTTTTTTTACAATTCCTTCCCTGGAGATTAGCTCGGGGCTTCGCACAAAGGCTTTATGGTTCCAATAAAAGCTTTTTATGCTGCTCATTCATTCAGCTGCACAAACCGGATGAATTTTCTTTCTGCCGCGATAGCCTCGCCTTCCGGAAATGACGACGTAAAACCAACTTTTCATTTTATCAATCCGTACCAACAATGCCATTTTCCATTTACACTGCCAGAGGTCGAAAGTACACGATGAAAATCTTGATTAATCGAAGTCAAAATTTACTATATTCCATTAAAACTAATTCTAGTCTGTCAGGAAAGTTGTTAACTTTTATTTTAATTTTTTAATATATGACAGAAAATTTAGTGAATTTTATCAATCTTATTACAAATAATTTACGATCAAAATAATATTTCCACAAAAATGATTTTTTTATATTATTTTTCTTAAAATGTTTGGGTCATTAAGAAGCTTCTTTACTGAGTTATATTAAAACTCTTATATTGAAATGAATTTTTAAAATAGCTCAATTTTTTAGCAAAAGTTATTATAAATTTTATCAATTTAAAAATAAACATCGACAAATTAAATTTAAACTCGTAAGATTTAATTTTTTTCTTTCTAATTTTTCCTTTTCGTAAATATGGTTTTTTTTTAAAATGTAGCTAAATATTTCTTATTATGAAGTAGATTAACAATTTGCAGCAAATTGTTTCTTGTCTGGAGACGTTCGTGCTTCACTAAATGTCTGTCTTTCTTTTTCTCTCCCCCTTGAGATTGTGCACGGTTACACAACGAAGCTGCTTTTTCGCACTTCTTATCCTGCTTGCGTTTTCCGCGCACGTTGTATTTGCGCGAGCTGGCGAGTAATTAAATAAATAGCGCAGCGACTTATCTCGGCCGCCTTTTTACAACTGCTGCGTGTAACGACCAATAAACTTCGTGATGGAACTAAAACGGCCTGCGACTGTGACAATGGAGTGGAAAAGATCGAGGGTTTGACTCACAAAATACGACAATCTTTTGATTTCAATAGGGTGTTGGGCCGAAAGTTTGCACGGGGCTGATAATAAAAACAACGCACAAATCAAATTTTTGTATTAATGTGGTTTCAGGAAAATTAATTATTTATTTTTTGCTGCATATTCTACATAATTAAGTAACAAAAGACAAAAACTCGGGTGCGGTAAAATTTTCAGTTTCACAATTTTTATGAATTTTTCTTTTTAGTTTTAAAATTATCACTTCAGATAATTAAAACTTTTCAATTTGAATTGTTAATGAGGAAGATTTGACTTGTTTTTTGTTAGATTCATAAATTGAAGTGTAACATTTAAATAAAAAAATGTAAAAATATATTTCGCCCAAATTTTTTTATAAAAAATATATTCTAGAAATTTTGGCTTGTGACGATAAATTTTCATTAGATTTTCTTTCATTTTTTTCTCCAAATAATCGCGTTTTTTAATAAATCTACAGTCAATTTGAAAATTAGGCTTCACTGCGACAGTTGAATGACATAATTACACAAATTAATTTGAATTTAGAAAAAAAATTAATAAAAAATATTTGTAAATGCAATGTTATTGTTTTTATTTCATTTGAATAAAACAATTACTAAAGGTTTTCTTGTGGTTTTGTTTTAGCTGAGCCAAGACCTGGGCTACGTGCTGTACTCGGCGCTGGGCTCGTTTTACATCCCGAGCTGCATCATGGTTTTCGTTTACATCCGAATCTACTTCGCGGCGAAGGCGCGCGCCCGGCGCGGCATCCGGAAGCGGCCGCCGAAGCAGGAGGAGCAAAAGCAGAGCACGAGCTTCACGACGGTGGCCAAGTTGATGCCGCTGGCGCACATCCACAGCCTGGCCGGCGACGGCCCCTTCCCGGGCGGCCTCATGATCCCGGGCGCCGAGCACGGCTACAAATCGGCGGCGCCGACCATCGTCGAGGAGGCGGCGGGGCCGAGCGCGATCGCCACCGTGGAGAGCGCGATGGCCGCCTCCGGCGGCCAGGCCACCATCCAAATCCCGGTGGTGACGTGCGACCTGGCGTCGGACGTCAGCATCAGCGACGCCGACATGTCGATGCAGGAGAACGGCGCCGCGTACCTGGAGGCGCCGCGCCACGGCGTCACCTTCATCCAGCAACACGCGACGCACCCGCTCGCCAGCGCCTTCCGCGACTCGAGCCAGTCCGTCAACGGCGACCTGCGCCAGACCGAGGCCAACACCATCAGCGTCGCCATCGACAACGACATGGTCAGCGAGTTCGACCCGTCCTCGTCCGACTCGGGCGTCGTCAGCAAGTGCGCCGTCGTCAAGCCGCTCAAGCTGCGCCTCATGAAGCCCATCTTCAGTCGCAGGAGCAAGGCGGCCAAGGAGGCCGACAAGAAGGCGGCCGCCGCAAAGGTAAGCACAATATTCACTTTTTAAATTTGAAATTCTGCATGAAAATCAGCAAAATTTATCTCATATATTTGTTGCGAAATAATTTATTTTTTATAGATTTCAATTTGTAAAATTAAAAAAAAATGAACGCTTTAAAATAAATTTAACTATTTAAATATAACTGAGCTCGGAAGACAAATTAAAATTTTCAAAATTTCAACTTTTATTCTGAAATTTTGTAAATTTTCAAAAATAAAACGCATATCTACTGATAACTACATGCATTAGAGAATGAAAAATACTTTAAACTCTTTGTAATTTAATAGTATTTTATTATTTATTCGATATTTTTCTTCAAAATTGAATATAATTTTGGTTTTAATTATTTATAAATTTATATATTTACAGTAATTTACTTAATTTAATATTTTTATTAAAATAAACTTTACTTTGCTAAATAAACCCTAAATAAATTAAATTTTATTCACTCCTCTAATATTAAAATTAAATTCACTCATGTTTAAATCAAATTTCTGCTATTTTGTTTTTAATAAATTAAAAATAAATACTTTTGCACGAAATAATTGGTTAAATTTTATTAAAAATTGAGTAATTTCTAATACAATTACTTGAATTCCATTAAATATCAAGAAAACCACATAAACCTTCAAATGTCGGTCTGTGTAGTTTTGATGAATTTAAAAAGACTCGTTATTTTCATTATAGTTTGAATTATAATAAAAAATCCCTTTAAATCCTTGTTCTTAAATTAATTCCTCACAATTTTTGTTATTTTGCGTTTGAGAAATCCCATAAATTGAAACAACGATCTCTTGAATTTTGATAAATTTATTTATCTGATTCGCCAGGTCTCAAATTGTTCATTTATGAAAAAATCACGTGAATTAATTTATTTAAACCCGCATTATTTATTTATTTACGTATTTTTTGTAAAAATATATTTAGGCACGCTATTAAGACTTAAGTTTTATAATAAATAAGGCAATTAATTTCCAATTTTCGCTCTAAAGGTGAGATGACTAAAAAAATTTGTCTAAGTTTGCAATTTTTGGTTATTATTATTCTTGATTATTCGTTCCATTTCTTTATTAAATTGGATTTTGGCGTTTTTGCACAAGAATTCTGACTTTTTTTTAAAAAAAACTGAATTGACTTGGTGTGTGTGTTGGCAGAGTAAAGCGAGGTTGCCGGTGTGCCGCGAGGTGCCGGAAGTGGCCAAGCTTCCTCAGTACCAAATGCCGCCCAAGCCGAGAGACCCGGAGCGCGAGAAGCGGCGGGTGGCGCGCAAAAAGGAGAAACGCGCCACGCTGATCCTGGGCCTGATCATGGGCTCGTTCATCGCGTGCTGGCTGCCCTTCTTCCTCATGTACATCATCACGCCGCTGTGTCCGGTGTGCGACATCCCGCCGGTCGCCTTCTCCATCGCCTTCTGGCTCGGCTACATGAACTCGGCCCTCAACCCGGTCATCTACACCATCTTCAACAAGGACTTCCGCAGGGCCTTCCGCAGGATACTCTTCAAGTGACCGTTCTAGTCGCTGATGCACGCCCCTGAGATATGCCAAGCCGTTCGCCAAAAGACTTTTCTGCTTGCTACTCTCGTCATTTGTTCTCGTTCGTTCGACGGTTCGCGCCAAAATATACAAATTCATCGCCGCCAGCTGCGTAAATTTTCTGTGTTTTGATTTTTGTGAACGTTTTCGAAACAAAGCCCAAAACATCCTTAATTATTTATTTTAAAGACCAACATTGGTTATTTTTTTTTATTTTAAATTCTTAAAGTAGATTAAATTTCATGACCAGAGGTGAAATTGCGATCAGAAAATATGCACAATAAACGTAAAAAGTCGAGTTTCACCTTTTCCCGCCAAATATTTTTGAACTTCCGAGGATAATTAGATGCAGAACTTGCAGATGATATTGATAAATCACAGAGATGCAATCACTGCATCTAGATCATAATTTCAATTAAATATACAGCAACGAACTTCCCTCAAAATTCAAAGTTTTTTGGCGGGAAAATTTGAACCACTCCTTTAGGTGTGAATTTTTGATCGCAATTTTAACGCTGAGCATGAAATTTGGCCTTCTTTCAGATTTTGAATTGAAAATATTTCCTGGTGTGAGTCTTTGTTATTAATCCGATTCCAAAAACTGAAGTATTATTTTTTTATTTTGCTAAAATTGTTCCAAATGCAGCCATATTTTATAAATTGGCCATCATTACGGCAAAAATCCCTTTATTTTCAATTTTAAAAGTAATTTTGTTTGCAATTTTGGTTTCCTTTAGAAATTTTAAACTTTCCACTTCCAAATTGTGCTTCCCTTTTTCTCCGCTTATATTTGATACGCAGCTGATATTTTTGCGGGACGAAACCCTGATTACGTACGTATGAAACGTCGAATTGCACTAAAACTGAAACAATTGCTCTGTACATATTTTAAACTTAGCGAAAAGAGTGACTTTTGTAAGAACTAACGATTATTAAAAAAAACTAAACTACTGTACTTGTTATCAATCTGTGGCTAACTAATTACACCTTAAGAGTTAAATATTATATATAATATTAAATTTGAGAAACAACAATGAAACAATTATTAATTAAGGTATTAAAAAATAATGTTGACGCGCGAGGAATAATTGTACTGTGATATTAACGCTTAAAAAAAACGAGGAATGCGATGTTGTGAACGAACACACACATACAAGACTTGGGGTTGCGAGATATTTGATGCCGACTTAAACAAAATACGTGCACGTGTAAACAAAATCATAATAATATTGAATATGTGAGATATTTTCGTTTGCAAGCAAAAATACATCCCCCCATGCAAATTATATAGTTGAGAGTGGTGAAAAAACGAGGTCATACACATACTGCATCTTGTCATTATTGCAAGTACAATCATCCAGATAGAAAGAAGGCACGAAACTGGTTGATCCGTTGGACGGCCTGGCTGACCAACACCTACCAGTTGGTGGGCATTCAGTAACCTGTTTCTGAGCTTGGAGGTCGCTGAATCCCTGGCAACAGGAGACAAAAATAAGAGTTAAGTGTACACATGTCTAACCCTTAACTAATAATTTACTTACAAAAAAAAAAAAACACAATGAAGCAACGAAATTAAACTTTGGTGGATCTCATTTCACCGTGAAAACTGGTTGCCAACTGAAAACTCTAATACCCTGAAATTGTTATGATTATTTTTTAAAAATCCAAATAATTAATTGAAATTTGTAGCAAATTTTATTGAAAAAACATTCATTTGTAAATGATGACTTTACTATACCAATTTTTAATCGCTAAACGTTTTTAAAATTTAGTCCAAACATGTTTGAGCACGTTTAAGGTCACTTTTTGCCTAAATTCTGACTTTAAGGAGAATTTTTTTGTTAAAAATGCCCCTTTTTTTAAGAAGAGAACAAATTAAACAAAAAGGTTCATATTTATTTATTTTTTTTTGCTTTTCTTGAAATGAATATCCAAAGGTTTTTTAATTTCCAGTTTTATAAAGAAAAAATTTGTGGATTTTATTTTATTTAATTAAAATAGACAACAATGCCATTTTAAAATGCACAGTTTATTATTCTCGATTATTTGAACTAGATTATTTTTACTTTACCTCCATAAAAATCAATTTTTTTTATTTTTTTTTTTTTATATTTGACCTATTACTTAAAATTAAGGTAAAAATGAACCTAAACGTTGAAGACATTCACAATTTTCTTCTAATTTATATCCCTTTAAGAAAATTTTAAATATTTGAATATGACCTTTTTTTTCAAATTCCATAAAAAAGTGAATAAAACTATGTTGTGACTTCTGGGTTTTATTTTTGTATTATTTCAATTGTCAACCAGAGTCTACGGTGAAATCCATCCTTTGTGAAATGGTGCTAAATTTCGAGGAATGAGAGCATGATATTAATTATTAATATGTGGGTGGCGCGGCGTGTGTTCAGAAAAATGTTAATATTTTCAAAGGGCATATCAAAAAGGTTGCTTTTTCAGGACGGTTCTCGTCGTTGCTCTTCTCGCAGACCAAAAATAATACCGATGCATTTAGAAAAGCTCTATTTTTAAATCCACAAAACATGCCACGAAATTCCAATGAAATAAAAAAAAAAATCCTGCACAATAAAAAATTAAATTAAATAAAGAAAGAAAGTTCAGCACCGTTGGAGACACTCAAGAGAGATTCTTAATTGTAAATAACCCGTTATTTGATGGATGTTTTCATATATTTATCATTATAAATAAATCTTTAACAAAATATATTCTACACGCATATGTGAAAAAATAAAATTTATCCGACTCAAGAGAGAATGTGGATAATTTTTCATTCAGCTGTGGCACGTCAAGTTTGAAATATCCTAAGAAAATGCTTGAGCCCCATTCTTCTTAGGATCATCTCAGACCGTCTCAAAAGCCACAGAATAAAATGTATATGAATCGAGGCCGGAAATAATGTGCGTATATTTTCATACAAAGCCAAAGCAGACTTAAAAAGAAAGCGATATTTGTAGAGAGGGACTAAATATATATAAAACTACTGATCATGTTGTTGCAGCCGAAGTAAAACTTTACGTGTGTGTTGTGTCGTTCTGTAATTGTAGAAAAACGGGAGAGAAAAGAAGAAATTTAAAGTTGAATAATATCCACGTACATTCTAAATGTTTCATAGCCCATTGAAAAGCGCGAAAATTCCGACATTCAAATACATACGCGCCTTGTAAATCTCTAACTATAAATTATACTGTAAATGTTATGTACAATGCAGAATTTTATTCGCGGCGGACTGTTGTTCCGTTCAAAAGAGGAAGCTTAACGGTGTCGAAAATAATTATACACATTCAGATTTTAATTAAACACGCCACAAAAATAAAATAAAATGCTTCTTCAACGCAGTGAATATGGTGCGCTCATTCACCGCACTCTCTCAGCTTAGGAAATATCCATGATATAAAAAAAAAATGAAAAATACTAAAGAAGATATGAAACTATATTAGCAGGAAGGAGCAAAGACGCAGATGAGTATTCGTCATTGGCGTGTATTTGATTCCGAAAACAATGTTAAACTGATGAGATATGAGTGTACGTAATTCAAGAAACCAATAAAACGTCTTTTATTTCTGTTTGAATTACTTGTTTTATTAATATCAAAACCAATTTCTTAAAAATTTTGCAAAATATTGAAAAAAAATCTTATTTTCTGTTTTTTAAAATTAGCTCTAATTTTCATTTTGGTAAAGAATCTTTGCTAATTTTGTCATTCTTATTTAATTAAAGACCCACTCCGGTCACTTTTATTGCTCTTTATTCTGAAAGACTGCTAAATTTTTGAGTACATCTATGTGAAAATTCCAAACCGTTGCGTCGCAATCAAAAGAAAACCGAATACGAGTGATTCGCGCGAGAAACTTATGAGAATTGAGGGGCATTTCCGACAGTTTGGTAAAAAAACTACAGGATTTGGTCACATTGGCGCTGCGATCGCTAATTTTTCCACACATGCCCCACGGCACTGTGCAGGAAACTTCGCAAAAATCAGCGATCGCAGCGCCACAAGTGACAAAAACCTGCAGATTTTGGACCAAACTGACTACAACTCAATTCTCATATGTTTTTGGCGGGAATCACTTGAATTAGGTTTTCATTTGATTGCGAAACAACGGTTTGGAATTTTCAGTGTTAATTTCACAAGATATACTCAAAATTTAAGCAATCTTTCAGAATAAATAGCAATAAAATTAACTTGAGTGGGTCTTTAAATTTTTTGTTTTTAAATTTAGCTCTAATTTTCATTCTGAGCAAGATTCTTAGGAAATTTTGTCATTCTTATTTCATTTGGTTTGGATTTTTTTTATTGATTCATCAATTGAGAATGAACATTTATGCAAAATTAAATTTCTAATCTAATTTGACAAATTATTACATTTTTCAATACAATGAGACCCGAAATTTTACACAAATTATTATTTTTTTTTCATAATTGCACGAGACGTTTTCACAGAGTCAACAGGTGCGGTGGAGAGCTTAAATATAATAGTAGTGTGGGCTCGTCAAGTGCTTCTCTTTCTCTCTCAGAGGATCGGAGGAGGCAGGTGGGCAACGGAGGCGTTAACCGCTGCAAGTGGCTCCTGAGAGTTGTGCACGGCGCAGGTTGACGAGGCAGAAGTTGGTTGATTCATCGACGGCCACTTATCGACCCCTCGCCGCCGAACGTGTGCGTGCTTGAGTGAGTTGCCTGCTTTGTTTGGATCGCCACCAATCAAGAAGTTGTTGTTCACTTGATTTGGGTAGATAAATCTGAACTGAAGCTTGTCTCGATTGAACTGAAGTGTTTTCAAAATTGAGGTGTAAATTAATTATGATTTCATTCAGACAAAGAAAATTAAATTCATTGGTTCTTAATATGACTTAAGGATTTTTGCTTAGAATTAAAGCGATTTATTAACGAAATTAATTTTAAAAAAAGGCAATTTTAATTTTGATCTTTCCTCTTTCAAGGGAAATTTCCCTGAAAAATATTAAAAAATAATTCAAAGCCATAATCAAATTTTTTATCGTTTAATTAACCATTAATAAATTAATGAAATGTTATTAAAACCTAAAATTACAAATTATGCAACACGCTAGGCAGGCATGACGAGCGTGTTGCCTACCTTGAAAAACTTATTTCTTTTTTATCCTTTGTTCCTTCTCGTTTTATTCAGAATTTTACATAACAATTGAATTTCCTCGCAGTATTTCGTAATTTTTTTTCTGCCGTGCAACGAGATCCGAATCGATAAGAGGGAGCTGCTGCCGTCGTTGCGCAAAGCAGGTAATGAGTTAAGAAAAGAGGCCTGGCGTTTCTCGACTTGCAAACGGCGCGGAATCTACATCATTAGGGCCGTCTTGTTCTCTGCAGGATCAAGTCGCTAAATACACATGAAGAGCTGCTGCGTTCGCTGAGAACACACAGAGCAAATTGAACTCAAATATTAGACCAGCGACAGACGCAAACATACCCGCTGCATTACTTCGGCAGGCCGAAGACTTACACCTTTCGAGTCCGATCGACGGTGGCCGTAGTTTTGACCTCTCTTGTTCCCATCAGATGATAGAATGAATTTTGTGTTAATTCATTATAGATAAATCATGACAATTTTTTTCCCCTTGGAAAAACTATTTTATGCATTTAAATAATATCATGATTAAAAAAAAATTAAAATATAACTCAATTTTTCTATTTATTTTTTCTTCATTTACAAATCCTACTCTTTTTTCAATAGTAATTTTTTTCATAATTTAAAAATACAATAAGACAACAGTTAAAATAATGTCAATTAATTCATATTCATATTTGCAAATTTTTTACTCACAAGTAGTCTTGCATAATGTCTTTGGCCACAAAGTTCCCACTAGGTTTTTTATTTCAAATGAAATCGGCCTGAGAGTGGCATTATTTCTCTCCGAACAACCCCTTTCATATCGCTGGTGCAAATTAATTCATTGCAAATCTAAGAAAAGTGCAAAAGGCTGGTCGTGTCCGCGCCACGGTTCGGGAGGAACCTGGGAGCTTCGGCAGCGCGTTTCCTGCCCAATGCTCGGCGTCTTGAGTCTTGAGTCTTCTTGAGCATTGGGCAGGAGACGCGCGGCCTCCACCCTCAGGTCATCCAGCATGCGGGAGTGACATGCGGGGAGGGAGGGCTGTGGTGACGCTTAGCAACCACCCTAATTTCAACACCACCAAATCCCTTCCTAGCCATTCATACACGCAAAACCTGGTCGCATTTGATGCCAATTTTTATTTCAATTCTACTTAATTTGGATCTAAATATTTAGCAACCTGTTCTGGATTAAAGTTTGACTTTCCAGTTTTTCGCTTCAATAGATTTGAAACTTTTATCCAGAAGTTTGCGTATTTTAATAGAAAAAGGAATTTGAAATATCAGCTCAGGACTATTTTTGCGGCTAAAGAATGGCGGTAGACCTTGAAGGGTCTCATGCAACTATAAAAGTTAGATTCCATTGTTGGACGTTGAATTTTGAAAAAATCTCGGGCGAATCTCCAAACTTTGAAAAGAACGCGACCGTTTGGAGCGACGAACGGCACATCAGCGGAAAGCTTGTTTCACGAGGATGCCGAAAATGCCCAGGTTTTTGCGATTTGGTGACCCCCGACCTGAGAAAGACGTCGGGAAGCACGGAAGGTCGAGTTTCAACACCTCTGAAATGTATTTTGTGCTGCGAATCCCCATTGTTGCCTTAATGAAAACGCATAATTAATTCATGATTTTTCTTGGCATCCTTGATGTGAATGTTTTTGTTAATCAAATAATTATTGTATCTGTTCATTTTAGTCGGTTTGTGTGGATCATAAAGTCATGCGAATTAACAAAATGCAAGTACTGCAAAACCATTTAATCAGGTGTATATTAACGATGTTCAGATAGGCCAGAATTTATCACAGTTGTATAAAAAATGAATAATTCTGAAAATTATATAATTTTTACTCCAAACACACAAAATTTTATATAAAATAAGCCCAGAGTAGTACTTTAAAATATCATGTTACAACAATTGATTATTAGCCTGCTTGGGCACACCGAATGAAACTGCTTGCACCGTTTGTTAAGAGTCGAGTTGCTGGAAAAATTTTCAAGTGCAATGCTTTTACCATCAAATCTGTGTTTAAATGAAAATGTTAATTTGTTTATAGCAGTACTGAAAAAGCAATATTTTTAGCAATACTAATGTTTACTTCTCTTTTTTTCTTTTATGCCATTTATTTAGATGAGTTCATACATGGGCATATTTACCTTTATTCGAACCCATTAAATATTCCTTGAAACTAAAAAGTTAACTGTTTTAAGTTGCAATAGGCAGGTATGTATAGTCGATTTCTCTAATACAGATTTTTGGCAGTAAAATGCATTGAGCCGACGTTTAAAATTTCATCAATAAATCTGCGTTTTTGAGGGAAGAAAAATAAAAAAAAATTGAGACAAAATTTTCATCATCTTTCAATCTTCTAACCAGCTCATTATTTAGATTTTTGAGAATTAATAACGTGTGATATTATATAGAATGCCAAGACAAATTATGAAATAATAATGCATTTTTCATTGACGAAACATTGGGATTCGCTGCCAAAAAAACACATTTCGGATGTGTTGAAACTTGACCTTCCGTGCTTCCCGACGTCATTCTCAGCTCAGGGGTCACCAAATCAAAAAACCCTGGGCATTTTCGGCATCTACGTGAAACAAGCTTTCCGCCGGTGTGACTTTCGTCGCTCCCATCCGTCGCGTTCTTTTCAAAATTTGGAGATTCGCCCGAGAATTTTTCAAATTTCAACGTCCAACAATGAAATCTAACTTTCATAGTTGCATCAGGCCCTCCAAGGTCTACCGCCATTCTCTGACTGCAAAAATAGTCCTGAGCAGAAATTTCAAACTTCTTTTTTTATTAAAATACGCAAACTTCTGGTTGAAAGTTTCAAATCTACTGAAGCGAAAAACTGGAAAGTCAAAATTTAATCCAGGGCGGGTTGCAAAATATTCATTGCCAAATTAAGGAGAATTGAAATAAAAAATGGCATCAAATGCGACCAGGTTTTGCTTGTATGAATGGCTAGAAAGAGAATTGGGATTGTTGATGTCCGGGTGTGGTCGCCTAACATCACAGGTCACATTGCACATACCCTCCCACTCCCCCCCCCCATGCTGTCCCCGCATGTGGAAGTCTTGGGGGCTGAGGTCGCCCGTCGCCTCTCCAATGCTCAAGAAGACCTCAAGAGCGCAAGAAACGAGCATTGGAGGAGGTGGCGGCCGAGCGGCCAAAGCTCACAAGTTCCTCCCGAACAAGTCCCGAACCTGTGGTGCGAACACGGCCATACCTTTTCCAGTGTTTAGAATTGTAATTTTAATTTAATTTGTGACATATTAAAAATTAATATATAAAAAAGTAGAAAAAAGTGTGATTATTAAATAAGAATTTGCTTTGAAAATTTGAGGAGACCGGCTAAAATTGTCGCATATTTTTTTCTCTACAATAAAAGTTTTTTTTTTTGTACTTTTCAAATAAAAATTTATACGTAAATTCTTAGGGCACATTTTATATTGGGT